ATTTTGTATTATTATCTCCAACACCTTGTACGATGAAAATCTAAAATTTTGTATATCCACTAACTATTCAGTGCCGGTTCGAATGGAGTTAAAATCATCTCAAAATTAAATACAGGGGTGTGTCAAAATAGGGAGGTAAGGGGTAAAAATAACCCCAACTTTTTTTTTCGTCGCAATTTCAGTTTTTTAACATGAAATTATAAAATCTCAAGGTTATCAACATAGAAAAGGAGCTCCTGTTGAATCTTGATAAAATGAACCATTAGCGAATAATATTCATTTTTCCAAAATTTCATTTAAATTGCAATTTTGGTGTATACTTAAGTTTAATTATCTAGTTCAAATCTTGCAACTGAATTTTCACTTACTTCTAATCGTCTGATCAACTTGGAATCTAGCAGATGACAGTTGACAACGCGTTATGGACTTTTTGATAGAAAAAAATATGACGGCTCGAATGTGGCTGACCAGATTTGTGATTATGGTCCGATTCGATTCAAAATTGGTTTGTAAGGGTTTTTGGGGTTGTCAATTTTGAATTCGTTGTCGGAATTCATGATTTAAAAATAGACAACAAGTTTCGTGATTATGATCTGATCCTATTGAAAATACTAAAATAAAATAAAAACAAGCTTTTATTATTTTAAATATTGAAATAAAAAATTGAAGATAAAAAAAGGTGAACAAAGCCAAGCCCCTTTTCAAATGAGAGAAAAAACGAGAGCACCTTTTCTGTGTAAATAGCTCTGAGATTTCATAATTTTATGTCAAAAAACTGAAATTGCGATGATCAAATGAGTTGGGGTTATTTTTACCTTCTACCTCCCTATTTTGACACACCCCTGTATTCAATTTTGAGGTGATTTTAACTCCATTCGAACCAGCACTGAATAGTAAGTGGATGGACAAAATTTCAGATTTTCATTATACAAGCTGTTGGACATAATAATACAAAATCATTCTCCGATGCCCCCCTTTGAGGGGCTGTATCTTTCTTGGGGGTTACTTCATAAAAAAAAATTACGGATGATTCGTAACTATTTTACCCACTCTATATGCTCCCAAACTTTGACCACCTATTTTAGAATCACCTTGTATATCTCAAGGACACGATGAAAGTCGGACCTACATGGGCACTAAATATCCTTCCCTTAGTAATTGGTTTCGAATGAAAGTTTCTCGAGGTAGAAAAAAATGGTTGTTATCTAAAAAAACTGAAAGTTTTTTGCTTCAACGGTTGAGATTGGACTAGCTCCTCAGATCACGTCATTTCATTTCTTTGAGCTTCAAATGCTGTTCCGAATTTGCTTACAGTGGTCAGGTCTGCTCCAAAACGAGTTTTTTATTTATATAATGAGCCTGGCTCGATGTTTTATGAGTGCGAATTTCTACAAATGACTTCTAAAGTCTTGAATAAAATCAAGAGGTAGGTAATCTTACCGAAATATGGGCCCGTTAGGAATTTCAAGTTGATGAATATGAGAATATGCCGTTGAAAATTCCAGTGAGTACTTCATAAACGTACCCAATCCAATTTCAATTTCATGAGAAGGTATACCAAGATGAACATTTCTATAAATTATCGAATAATACTATGGGACTGTATTTATTCTCTGTGCAGATATCTTCAGGTATATAATGTCAAGAATTGAACGAAACACAAGACAATGCAAAAATTGAGAGACAGAGAACATAGGAATAGATTCATAAATATGCTGTATTTTGCAAGATATGCAGAAAGTTTTTATCATGAGATTTAGACATGAAGGTGTATATTTTCTGAAAGAACAAAAATCAATCAAATCTTGTGAAATTAAAATGTCACATTCATCTCTGTTCCTTGAATGTCTAGTCATGATAATATTTTGCAATGAAGATTACAAATCTTGAGTGAATCGATAAATCTTGATTTTCTGGAAATATTCAGTCGTCAATAAGTATTTCTTGACATACACATTGAAATAAATTTGCGGTTAACTCTTTATAAGGTCTATTTATGTTCCTCCAATATTCCTTTCATTATGAAAATAGATAAAAGGTTTTGGTCATAAACATATTCATAATGTGTGTGACTAGTATACAAATCAGAATATGTAACTGGTATTTCCAGATGCATATCCTGAATCTTAGCGTTATTTTGATATACCGTGTGTTCGGAGAATTGGATTTCATTTAAAGGCTTATCTCGGAAAAAATCAAGCTGAATTGCAAACTGAATTTGGATCAAATTGATGAAATATAAATATAAATACTACTGGTACTAACTCAGTTTATCGTTGCTTGTATCAACTGGGATTTCCATGAAATTCAATGGATTGACAATGAAAACTCATTGTTTCGAAAACATGGAAAATTTAAATAATTTTTCTGCCTCATCCGATAAGCATATGATGATTCCAATTGGTTAGGAATTGATGAAAATCTCATGCTTGTGCCGATGAAATGAGCAGAAATTTCAATCAGAAACTACTTATTATTATAATCGTGGCAGTTTGACCCTAACTTTCATTTTCGACATTCCAAATCGCTATATCCAAATCAAACCAACAGATCGAAAGTGCTATGCCAGCACCCATTAAACAAATGAATTTGACACCTCCATTAATTGTTTTGCATAAGACCGAACATGAAATAAAGCGCGATTATATGCGAAGAATTCGAATAACAATCAACGTGTGGTTTCCCACTCACCCATTCGTTTTATGCTCTGTTAAGTTACAACACGAATATCTTCATCAAGTTGCACCCAACCGGGCTCAAACCGATAAAATACACCCAAATTTAGCTAGGGTACAACCACCTGCTGACTTATACCAAGACCAGTCAAATCAACATGCAAATATCCTAGAGTAAAAAATGGTCCAGCCAGTTTCAAGGTTTTTGAGAGGAACTAGAATAAGTACAATATGTATTTTTTAGCTTTCTGATGAAATACAAGATTTGATATGAATATAGGATCATAGATTTTGTTTCGGAATGACTCTGTAGTTTCCAGAATGAATCACTGATTGGAGAGATAATGCATGGGAATACCTACATATTACCTATCAAATACAGAGTGTCCCTAGAAAGTTTGTACAAAATGATACCATAGACTCCAGAGACCAAAGTGAGATGATTGAACCAAACTCATCTCTATACCATGGATTTGAATTCTTATTCTTTATGTTTATGCAACGCCCTGTCTTTCGAATTCGTGGTGAAATGTGTGCTACATATTGAATATCATTGATATGATTGATGATTCCATACGAAAATTAGCCACACACCTACAATGATCAAATAATTCTGGAAAGTATCAGGTATGAATCAAATTGAATTCGGTCAATTAACTTGCAAACCAATCAAAATAGGACAAAGTTAAGTATTGAATGAGGGATAGAAGATAACATTCAGATTTGTTCAGTAGCAAAACCAGAAAACGTTCTATCAATAATTTAGATCAACAGTACTCCAAACATGTAACATCCTGTGTGTCAATCAAAATGGTATGGAATAATTGTTTGCACAATGGTGCTTCTAGTATTCCAGCCAAATCTCAGAACGAAATGATAAAAAAATAAAATTCAATTGCAAGCCCTGTACCAGCTAAACGAAGCGTTTGGTCTCAGGAGCTTATGATATTTGTACAGATATTTCAGGGCCCATATTGCTGAAAATCGAATCGAAATGGCATGCTTGGGTTGGTCTCAAACTCCATCGTTAGGAACAATTTTCTGATAGAACTCTGAAATCATAATTAATCTGGTTGGTATGGAAGAGTAGGAATTCTGCCTTTTGATAGAAATGTACGTTATTTTTTTACCGCGAAATAATGTAAATTATTGTAAATCATTCGTTTCTGTTAATGAAATCTATTATTATCATTACTATTATTAATTTCTGTAGGTCTATGGTGCCTGGTGGAACATTGGTACCAACCCTTGTGCCTACTTTATTTTAAACAGTATATTCTTTATTTTTTCAAGAATGGACATTCAAAACTGAGAGAGTCTGATCGATTTTTGAACAATTTTTGAGCGAAAGCATGGCAATAATTATTGCAATTCCAGGAATATTCGCTTTATCGCTACCCATAATATGATATGCAATTCTCATTATCGGTAATCACTGAAGATTAATATCGTAATCATTGTCATGACCTCCTCTCGAAAATCATCCAAAATCTAGCAAACTGCTAGTTTCAATAGCCTAGTTTTTGAGTAGTACAGAAGATACATATATCGAATGATGTATTTTCGGAACGCTATTCAAAATGTCCTTTCAATGGCGAGGAATTATGTAGGATGTTCAATTTGAAATCATAAACTTTTTGCTGCTCCCTCCATATTTTTTAGGAAAGTTGAAATGTATCTATTGATTCGAGAAGAAAACAATATCCTATGTGAGGTTGTCTCGATTTTTTCTATTGTCAAAAAGATGAAAATGTTATAGCAGACACATTCCTATGGAAACAAGGATATCAGAAGGATTAAAAGTGTCAGCGTTCCTCTCAAAGATCAACCTTTGACATGATCGATTCAGGATGAGGAAAACTCTGATAGATTAGAAGAAAGTAATCAATCGATCCATTTCTCACTCAACCCTCCCAGCACCAATTCATGTTGTGCAATTTTGACCCCCAAACAGAGTTGTACTCATCCTGCATCGAATCCAGGTCTAAACTAGCTGGACTATAACTTTGTTAGTAAAGGTGGTAGGTACGAAGGATAAATGTATCAGGATCTGTGACTCCAAAAGTCTCGAGAAGCACGGAATCGAGGTCACCAGATTTCTCTCCTTTCGCAAGGCAAAAGCAACAACAGCTGTTGCACTCGCCAGAGTCCATGTATTCCTCCAGGAAAGTCACTTTACACTTCACTTCATCCCTAGTGGCACAAAAGTCTACTGTCTCGATGCACTGTCACTGACCCACCCCAATCTCTAGGCTACAGTCAGGGGGATGGAAGCATTCAGGGGGTGGAAGGTTAGGTTAGGTTAGGTTAGTGTCCAGGACTTACCAGTCGCCATGGCTATATGTGCCAGGGCTAGGATTGCCCTTGTCAATCCACGGTTGCAGAAGGCACTTCTACTCACTTGAAAGTCTTGAGATAGACTGGTAGGCTCAAGAGCATCGGCGTCTTCCATCGGCGGTGGCCATGAGAGGCGGATTCCTATTGGTCATGAGAGAGTGCGGTGGAGTCAGTCACTCTAGTGCTAGAACAAGGCGCGAGACTTCGCTATTTCTGCGACTCGAGCTAGTTTCTTGCTACGGTCAAGTAGGCTCGAGCACGGACCATGACTTCGGCATCTGCGAGTCAGAGAGGAGATACAGGGTGAGATTTTGGGAACTTCCTACCCTCAATGTCTTCCTTCCACAATATGTGATGTGGAAAATCGAGAAGACAGGTCAATTTCCTTTTCAAGGGAGACACTGAAAATAAATATTCTTACGCCGGCGGGAGTAGAAGTTAGCTTCTCTGGTGACTAAAGAGGGGCAGAAGACTCGTATTATTCCTTACACGGAAAAAAAGGAATTGTCGAATCAAGCAAAATTTAATTGAACAGAGCGAATAAAAGTGTCATATATGCACGACAAAATATAATCTTGAAATGAGTAAATCTATATATCTTGTTTCAGAGCGAATTTGAAGATTGAATCAAGTAAATATGTCTTGCATGAACTCTGGATCTTCTTCGATCGAGCACATCCATGAATTGTTCATGAAGAGATATTGAATTGGCTCAAACAATCATTTTGTTTGATTCAAAATAACAAGATATTGATTCAATGAAATATTTAGTTGATTCAACGAAATATTTGGTTGATTCAAAGAAATATTTGGTTGATTCAATAAAATATTTGGTTGATTCAATTAAATATTAAGTTGATTCAATGAAATATTTTGTTGATTCAAGAGAAACTATATATCCATTCGACAAATTGTTTTGTTGAACCAAATCCAATATTCGGAAATTTTCTGAAATTTCACATCAATAGAATAAACAAAACTAGGAAACTAGTCGACTCCCAACATAGATCCCAAGTCTTTACTTCTCCTTAGCTGATGGAAAACTATTTCGGATTGCTAATCATCCTAAGTTCGAGTTATCCAGCTGATATTTCAAACACGAAGAATCAGGCTTCACGTATATAATGAATTCGAGGGAGGCATAGACGAGGCGAAATGATCGCCATCTAGAGGCGAAAATTTAAGTTGATGTAGAATGAACAAAATATTTCATTGATTTAACATATTTCGTTGCTCTATTCAAGCAAATGATCCGTTCGAAACGAGTATATTGCTACATCGGAATATGAAAACTTGTATGTTGTTTCAAAGATATAATCTCATCAGAATGATAATTTTTTGATCAAACCAACGAAATGTCCATAGTTGAATCAACATCCACATTATTTTGGATCGACATAATTTGTTTTTGAAGAAACCATATATTTTGTTGATGGCATTGATATTATTCTGTTGATTCAATTAGCCTACATTCTTGATTTGAACAAGCTGCTTCCATGGAATAATCATGTATCTGGTTGATTCAACAAAAAATTGCTCAGTCCAACAGAAATACCTCAGGCATAAATAATTTGCTGATGCAACAAATCCTTTTTTTCCGTTTAGGCAGATAATCTGACATATTTTTTCCCTAGGAAGTTTATACCAACTTTACATTTTCCGCATAGCTCTGCGCTTTTTTTTAGAACACCCTTTTCTGAAGCGAAATTAAGCTACATTATACAGTTATCTGGATCTCACTGGTAGTTTTTTTTATCGCTTGGAGCGCACGAAAGGGAATCCCTATAATGTTCAAAGAACATCGTGCGTTCCTAGGGAGGATAGGGACAGGAGGTAGGTATTGGAATTCTTTTTGAACTTTTGGAGATTATATGTTGTTGGGAATACTTCCACAGGCAATGAATTCCAGAGCCTAGCCGTTCTATGGATGAAGGAGTCTTGATAAAGTGCTGTTCGACATCTTTCGAGGTTGACAACGAAAGGATGTGCTGACTGGGCTTGTCTAGTTCGTCTGATTGGTATTGCTAGTGAAGGGATGATAGCAGAGATTTCCGAAGAACATTTCCCGTGGAAGTATCGATAGAAAAGTGGAAGGTCGCCGACATTTCTACGGTGTTCCATTTATGTCAAAGAGTGAGTGAGTGTAGCGTCACCCACCAGGCGAATGGCTCTTCTCTGGATGGAATCTAAGAGCATCAGCGTATGTTTTGGTGCTGAACCCCATATGTGGGAACAGTATTCTAGAACAGGCCGTATCTGCGCTTTGTAGATCATGAGAAGCTGTTGAGGTGTAAAGTAGCATTTCGCTCGGAACAAGAATCCGAGTTTTTGTGAAGCAGCTTTTGCGATGGATCTGACATGATTATATCATGAAAGAGTGTTGCTGATGGAAATACCGAGCATAGATATGGTGGGCTTGGTGGGGATGGTGGAGCCAGACATAGTTTGTGATATCCTGTCAAATGTCTTGGCAAAGGGTGCTAGCAGGAGCGGGCTTGAGTCAAGATGGCACAAGAATGTTCCTAAATCGATCTTAAAAAATTTTTCGAAATACTGAATGATACACAAAGTCATCTCCACGACAATTTATTGTGAAAACTCACGAGTTCATTGTGAATGATCACATCGAGGGAACATGTTTCCGGACATACGTATATCCATCATCAGCCTTAAAAGAAATCACATGGTCATGAAGGTGAAAGATTTTTTTCATCTAATAAACGTAGAGAATTGAAAATACATAGAAGTTTAATGGTTGATTGTTTTACTAGGGGGATAACCATGAAAAATCCCCATAGATGGCATTATGGTGGATAGTAAAAAACTAAAGAGTCCCCTAACATTTGGGGTACTTCCATGAGCACGTTGAAGGAACACTGATGAAATGTGTGTCCAATTTCCACTTTGAGAAACAATGGAATTCCACAGAGATAATATTTTTCGAGGATTGATGATTACCCTTCAGATTTGTTTTTGAGGAATAAGAACATTATTGTTGAATTAGAAATGTAACAAATTTTGATGCATTCATTCTTTGACTGATAACAATGGATTTCATTCTATTCACATAGGTTGGGTGGCATTTAGCGAACGAATATGTATCATCACGCTATCAATTGCAGATCCCTAATCTCTGAATATTTCAGCATAATGTTCAATAAATTACTATGGCAACACATCAGTTTTTTAAACACATAACTATAGGATACTATTTGATTCACATGGTTGAATAATTCATGGAAACCCACCTGGAAGACTAGGCAATAGGCATTGATCTCTCAATTTTGACATCAACAATGAGATGAGAGAAATCGACTTCCAAAATTAGTTCGTAGAAAAAATATGTTGAAACGCGTGTATAAACTCCTCAAGGCACTCGTTTATTGAACTTTTGTTAATAAAAGGACGTTTATAACACATGATACACAATATTTGACATGCTTTGTTGTGGAGTTGAAGGTTTGATGCGTCTATATCATGATATAAGTACACAGTGAATTGTTCATATGTCTTCTGATTGTGGGATATTCTGCTGTTAAGTTTTTCTGGTCCTCCTTCCATTGAACATATCTTCATCGATTCAATTTCAATTGCTTCCATTTAGGTAGCCGAATATTCGATACCTATCTGAACATGAAATTGAATTAGGATTCTGATTCTACAAGGTGAAATTCAATCGATGGCTGAAAATATATGATATGATTATTCAGCTCATTTTTAGAAGAAGAGTCCATGAGAACATATGTTATAAACCTCTTAACTTTCGAACTATAGGGTGTTAATATTTTATTTGTTCTTCATTGATAAAAGAAACTTTCACAATTCAACGTTTATGGATACTTGTCAATATAGGACCGCAATGTAATCGATCAGATGTCATTATTTCAAATTCTAAATAGGGAACTAGCCTACTAGTTCAAAATTATTCCGTTATGTCACAAATGCAAAATGCAAAATAAATGAAGATATAGAAGATATTTTTTTCCTTCAAAAAACCAAGAGCGTACGATTTGTAAAAAAAATCTCCAGGTCGAAATATCGAAAAACCTCCAGCATCAAAAACTACCTTCAAAATGAGGTAGGGAACCATATCCTTCATTTTCAGAAATCAATTAAATAACACCCTATGAATATCCACATTCTCTTATTAGATCCAAGTAAAAACTAAGTTATCTGCTGCTTCTTTACAAAAATTACAAAGGTGTCCAAATATATAATTCAAGCCAGTATTGTAACGTGGAATCTATCGAATTTTTTAAAATGAGATAATTCATCTCGTTTTTAGGCGGAGCCGCGGAGATATCAATAGGCGATTAGACGGGAAAATTAATAGAAAACTTGTCACTTGGTGTTTGTTTCATCAGTTAAGGATAAAATATAGTCATTACATTGTCGAATGGGGCATATACGAATACAGTTTCATACTTGACAACATGAGTGCAAGAATAATAAGTTCTTTATTCTTTCAAATTAGTTCGCACACCAACAGAACGGTAATACAAATAAAAGAGGTGAAACGTGAGTAAAAATCCATAAATATACATGTAAGATGAAGAATAAAAAATATATAGATAAAATGACAGATATAAATGGATACAACTGGATATGAATATAGAAACATCACATATACATCATAAATTACAAATGACAAAACAAACCACAAATTTCATTTGATATCAGAGAGTTATTTGAATTTCTAATACTATTCTTCACTTGAAGTACTTTCATTCAGATATCTTCGTTGCACTTATCTGTACATGCAATTTTGTTCTGAGAAATGAGGAATTCTATAACTCATCAGCAATTGTTCGAGTGATGAAATTGATAAATAGCCTCTTCGTTATAGTATTCCGTACTCCACCTAATACTAATCGATGTTTCAATATTATTTATTGTACTCTGATGTTGGTAAGGCTGTAATATGCTTCAATGAATTATATACATATAATAACTGCCTCCATCATTGAGGTAGGTGAGGTTTCTCATTAGATAGCAAGAACAGGAACAAAAGTTGGTATTTAAATTGAATTCAATCAAGTAAATCATCAGTTAAATGAATATCTCATCAAGTCGGAAAATAGAAGAGTTCCTCAGGTGATTTATTATTGTTTGATG